ATAAAAGGAAGGGTTATTTATAGGTTAAAGCAATGACGATTCAGTTTTAACGGTGGCCGACCACCGTCTGACATACATTAAATGCCTCGAAAGACTAAATCGACGGGACAACTATTACGTACGTCATGGTCGAGTCCAGTATAAACATGAGCTTATAATCCGATCAAATCGTTGAAAAATTACATCGTTTCTCATCACATCTGTCCCGAGAAATGCGGGGACTATCTGTATACGGTCGAAATAGATTTCGGCCTTAGTACGATCTATCGAGTACAAAACATAATGGATCGACTACTAAGAATTCAATATGGGTCCGGAGATGGTGCAAACAAGTTTCAAAGCCCAAGGGACCGATCGATGTCGAACTCAATATCATTATCGAGCTCGAATCCAAATCGAATTACAAAGAAAAGAAAAGTTATTGGGCTTACGATTCAGAGACCGACCAACATCGACCCCGAATCAATTCAAGGATCCGAGTCAGAATCGAGCCCAAGTCAAGACCGAAAACTCGAGTCAATATCGAGCTCATAGACAAGAACCGTTGTAATCCCACTAGAGGAGAGAATCTTGGCAGGAATTATGAAAAGGTTGATTTATTATTGTTCTTCCACTATGTATTTTTAATTATATCTGATGTAAGATCCCTCTATTATAAAGGGGATGGTTATTATTTCTGTAAAAGAGGTTTTTTCTGGGCTTACATGGTAAAAATGCATCATAATACTGAAGAATTATTCTTTTAAGTTTCATACATTGATTCATCTTATTTATTCCTAAAACTCATTTTCTTCCCAGCCTTATTTATTTAGCATCTGAATGTAAGATTTTATTTATCCTTACGATTTGTGTTAAGCTATACCACATATCTTTAGAACCACGTACAAATTCAACTCTATCCGATTTTCGGGTAAACAATATTTATTGTTTCTGTGAAGCTTTCTGGATTTTGTTGGAGCTGTATTTTACTCCAGTTGGTGTCCTGTGTTACTCCAAATAAACTAATATTTCTTAACTGTTTATTAGCTTCGACCGATTTTTTTGTGAAGTTCTAATGATCACTTCTGTGAAATTTTGCTGAATTATTTATTTATGATATTTTGTAGGTGGAGCAAATAAACAAGTGAAGGCAATATTTAGGTGTACTATGTATGCTAACTCTTGTATTGTGAAATAATATTGTATATTTTATTTTTATAGATATTACTAGTTGGATATTTTTTTATTATATTGTGTCAATGAATAGTTTCTTTTCAGAAAGCGTTGCACTTGATCATAACCACTGTTGCGATAACTTTAAGAAAGCGCTGCATTTTATCCTAAGAACTGTTGCAATAGATAATTTGAAGCGTTGCGATAACAATTAAAGTTGTTGCATCATCACTGTAAAACCATTATAAATGATATTGTAACGGTTCAAGGCCGTTGCATTTGATTAAAATTAACTGTGACAATAGATAAATGGAAAACCGTTGCAATAGACAGGCCTATTGCAACGAATACGCAACCGTTGCTGCAAACCGTTCCAATAGAACTATAGGAGCGCGACCTAATGAAACGGTCCCTAAACCGTTCTAATAGATATATTGCAACGGTTTTAATACCTATTGCAACGATATTGGAACTATTGCCATAGGCTCATTTTATAGTAGTGATATTGTTATGTGATTATACATATATTTACATCTTAAAATATCGACATCACTTATAAATTTTTTTCTTATGCTACAGTTCAAACGAATCTATGAAAAGCATTACTATTTTTCAATAAAAATACCAGTGCTTTTTCCACACAAAAATCGTTAGAGTAGCCCCAAATTTTGCGGGGGAGTACACAAAAAGTCATTCTTATAGGTGTTATTTAGGCTTAGTCAATACTTATTTTATCATAAAAATTAGAATTCAAGACATTTATGTCCAAAGAATTGAACTAAAAAATTTAAAGTCATGATACCTAATTCCACTTGGTGTCATTTCTACAATTTGCCAGCGATGTAATGCTAAGGCTCATAGCCGAACAACCAGAGAAGGAACATGACTAGATCTAATTATGGAGGAAAAATCAGAAATAGCTAGATTTACGGCTGATAATTGAAAAATAGTTACAGTTTCAAAAATAATTGAAATTTAGCTAGTTTTTCATGTAAAGATAAAATCTAAACTAAAACACTATTTAAAATTCGAAAAAATACCAGCATAATATGGTGGAGTTCGAATAATTTACATATGAGATTCCAGCATAATGTGCTGGAATTTCATAATGTGCTGGAGTTCCAACATAATATGCTGGAAGTTTTTATACGCAGGAGCTCCATAATCTAGCATATTATGCTGGAACTTTCCGTGTTTAAGCAAAATAGTGACTATTTTTCAATAACTTTACAAACACTTGCTATTTTTCAATTACCAATCCAAAAATTGGCTAGCCCATACTATTTTAACCTGATTATGATGTAGGAAGGTGCATGGACGGAGCTAACATGTAATATTATATAAGTTCCAATCAAGCCTTTAAAAAGTTCACACTTATAATTCAGTAACTTTTATCCGAATCTTATATATGTATTAATAAATATTTTATTGTGAACTCCATTATTCTTGTATTTTAATTTGAAATCACAATAAGAGCTCGTAAATTTTAAATTCTAGTGCAGAAAATGCAAGACAAGATCTATAGCTATGTACTTTTGAGTACGTGGGAGAAATATGGACAGGAGACTTTTTTTTTAACTTTTTATATTTTTATGGTCTAGATAGATAGATACGCACTACAAGAAAGATGACATACGATGACATTTTATAAATGTCGTATTAAGCTACATAAATGTCGCAAAATTATTAACCGACATTTATTTTACACTTAGAATAAATATCGGAAATTTCAATATCGGAAATTTCTCGACAATTAAATTAATGTCGGTAAAAGTTTTGCGACATTTATTTATCGACATTTGTGAAAATGTCACATTAAATTTCCAACGCATAGGTTAATGTCGACAAACAAATTGTGACATTTCTTTGCGTCTCCTATCAAATGTCGTCATTATGAGTTTTTAGCTTAATGTTTTCGACAGTGGTTCTTTTAATGTTTATATGCCATCTAAATTCAAGAAATATACCTACAAATTTCATTGACCATATAAAACATAAACTAGAATCATATATATTGAATATGGAAGTTCTCGAAAATTAATTCCATTAAAAAAAAATTGTAGTATTTAGAATAAAAAAACAGTCATGAAAAAATTATGTCATTCAAGCAAAATATAACTGTTTGGAACAACAAGAGATCTCTTCACTTCTTCAATTCCTCTTTCACTCTTTCTGGCTTCTGCACTTCCTTATATATGTAGCTTCCTCTCCAATTCAATTGTGTATCTGTCTTTGGTAGCTTCTTGAGTGCAGAAGTGACTGATGTAGCAACCTGTGATGAAAGGCAGAAGAGATGAATTAGAAATTAAGTAGTTGAAAGAGAATACCAAAACCTCATATAGTACACAAGTATGTTCATACAGTGAATATTATTAACAGTTCAGCTTTTTTGCAAGCATCTTCTTCTTTATCCAGTAGAGGGAACCAATTGGCATACTCCATACCTTATCGTCCAACTCAATGTACATGAATGGTCATGAGTAGAAAATAAAACACTTTAAGAGAGAATAATATTCTTTGGCCATAAATCTACAAGGGCCTTACTATAAGACCAGTTTATTCATTGGACAGATCAAACCACTTCAGATCCAGACAAATATTTTGAAAAAAGAAAAAGAATAAACAATCAACTAGAAAACAAGGATGGGACACTTATCTAAATCTACGTATGACTTTGACCTTCCGAACTATTAATTACTAAACTCAGACCATGTTATATTTCGTATGTTTTAATTTATGTGATTTATTTTTCGATATTCAAATTTAATTTATTTGATGGTGTATTTGAATATAAAAATTTTAAATTTTTCAAAATAAAATTTATATATTTAAAAATTACGTAGAAAATTTATAAATCATACTAATTAATAACTTAAAATATTTGAAAAGTATATGAAAAATTACAATAAAAAAAAAATAACTCATTTGACTCTCAAAATCTAAACACCGATCACATACATTGGAACCGACGAGGTATCAACTATAAAAGCCCTAGGAAAATATTGAACTTTCAGAATCTTTAGGTGGACCGATTTCCTTTGCATGTTCACTTGTAAAATGACATACTCCTTCAATTCTAAAATATGTGTTACTTTTTGCTTTTCGTAATTTAAATTATGTGTACATTAATTAATATTTTAAAATATATTTTTATATTATATTGACCTAAGAAAAACTATAATTTATTGTACTTTCCATATAATTTTGAAATATATCTAAATTTTAATTCTAAATTGAGAAGTTAATTTATCTAATTTAATTTAGCTTCAATGATTAGTTAAATGACTCTCGAAAAGTAAGAAGTGATACATATTTTAGGATGGAGGGAGTAAGATTAAAATAGTAGACAGAAACAAAGATCACATCTCAAGAAGCTCCACAGATCAAAACAATTTTTCGTTTCATATGTTTGTTGTTTTGTGAGGCTAATTAACTCTAACATTTTTGTTCAAAGGCGACATTTTGAAATCTCTGTCAATTATCTACATAACAAAGACAGATTTTAACTGTTTCATAATATATATAACTAAAATTCTAGCCGAAACTAATTCTATTTTGACTATTACCTTCTCCATTACTATATTCTCATACACAGAAATACCCATGTTAGTTGATATTTGTAGCAAATTCTATTTGTTCTTCGTCGCTTTAGATTGTGGGGCTTATTTTTTAGCCACAATTGGAGTAGTGACTAGCATTATAAATCGTTATGCGACTGGAGATCTAAAAGATGAAGTAATAACTTGTCATCACTAACTAAATTACATTGGGAGTGTAACAAAAAAAAATTCCACCATCACTATATACAAGTTCAATTGATCCATGCAAACATGAAAAGGCAAAAACAAAATCAATTTTCTTTTATGAAGGATAAGAAGATAGCAAATAAGGAGGAATACAAGAAGAATCTCTCCAAACCCTAGAATGTAACCTTAGAATTTCTTTAGCTCTATCCTTGGTCTTTGAACAACTATCCATTTGAAGCACCAAACACAACTTTGACACAACTCCCACTTGCAACATCTCTTGAAGAACCCTAGAATTCGCCGAGAATTTCGAAATAGAAGAAAGAATCCTCACTGCCCTATCACTTGCCACTTGAGAAACCCTAAGAATTTTCTTCGAAACAATGGCGACTCCAGCCCCATGGCTCGATAACTCAGCTCGGCCCTCGGCGCAGCTGCAAAGTTGGTGTAAAATTGTTAACATCAATTCACATGATCTTCTTTCATTTGTGTCAAGAAGTAGCTCAATTAGGGTTGAAACTGCTCCAACTTCAATTGCTTTGATTCTATTTCTCCCCCATGGACAAAGTTCCACTAGTAATTTAAGTGCAGCTTTAGTAGCTTGTTGTGTGATTTTGGTTTTTAAAACAGACAATATTCCTTTAAAATATTCTTGTTTTACACCAATTAAAAACCCTGGATCAGCTGCATTGAAAGCTGATTTTAATAGGGTTATTGCATAGGCTCGAGATTGGTTATTCCCACATTTCAAGAAATGCAATAAAGAATCCAAGAAAAGTTCATCTTGAGAGATGAACTTTTTTAAATCTTCATTAGAGAGATTGAGATGGAAGAGAATATCCAATGCTTCATCACTTGCCTTAGTTAACTCCATTGGCGTATGGAGAATTTTTCGCGAAACAATATCATATGACACATACTCTGAGTCTTCAACAAAAGCCACCTCTTTCTTTTTTATAATTGAAGCTAAGAAATCAATAACCCCAACTGATTCTAAACACTTCTTGTTGCTCTCACTTGAATGGGCAATGGATCTAAGTTTCCTCAAGCAAGAAAGTTGTATTTCTGGGGATTCCATAGCTTTTTTAAGGAGTTTTAAAACATGGATTTTTGTTACTTGAGGCTTTGGAGTTGGAATTGGTTCAACACCATTGGAAGAATTCATGATGCACCAAGATTGGATCAGACGGCGGAGAGTGTGGTTAGGGGTAAGATCAATGGTCAACAACTCTTGTTTGGTGACTGGACAAGTTGTGTTCTTGAACTTGATTAGCCACTTCTCTATGTTTTCTCTATCATAGGTTATTCCAGTTGATGTTGTGACTGGATCCCTCATCATTTGCATTGAGATTGGACAAAGAAAATAGTCAGGAACTTCAACTTCTGCCATCTTTTTAATTTTCACCGTTAAGAGGTTTGAGGTTCAAACCTCTAGGAACGAAGAACTTCTTGATATGGAACAGTTTACTTCCTTAGTGAAACTAGTGGGCACGAATCGGATTAGTTGAATCAGTAGATTTGGATAGTGAATGGTTAAAAAGGAAAGATTTTCAATTTCAAGAAAAAGCTAAGAGATACTGCATATCTTTTCAAGTAATGAAGAAGGCATTCGATAGGTCAACCACTATCTCATAGGTATTCTGGTGATAAAACCGACGGATACACTATTCAATACCAAGTGGGGAGAGTTTTGATGGAAATAAAGTGGAATTTTTCGGAGGTTGAAGGAATTGAAATGTTGGTGATGATTTTTGTGGAAAAATAGGAGAAGGGTTCTTATATATATACACTTGTAAAGAGAGGTGCATGCAATTATAAGATGCACATTGATAAAGGAGAAAAGTCAACATGGAAATTCAGAAGAGAGAGAGAGAGATAAAGTGAATCAGAACAAGGAGAAAGGGGTTCTTAATGGACTTTTCCCAAGATTTTGGATAATTAAAATTTTAAAATATTTAGAAGAAGTATGAATTTGACAAAAGGGAACAATAGGAATTCATATTCTAATAGGGGATTTCTATTATTGAAAAATATACACACCACGTGGGCAGTTAAATAACGACATGTGTCAAAATTATATAGTAATAAAAGGATGACGTGGAAATTATGTTCGAGGTTGAGCATGACGACACCCTCGCTATTTGTATGTGGCCGGCTGAAAGCCACTTTTGAGACCTTAAAAAACTAAGCCCACTAAGTATAATTCTGGCTTTGTTGTATTGTGACATAAGTATTGCTTGTAATCGCCTAAAGAATATGCGTACAATATCTTTTGAAAGATGGTAATCTTTTACGTCTCAAAGTTATACTTTTCTTTTAATCTTCTGCAATTTTTGTAACAATACTAGGCTTGGGAATGATATATGGTATCCGAATACGATTGTAAAATGCATGAACAAATTCATGTATTCCCTAAACACAAATATTTGAAATCTTGTCTCCTATTTTGAGAATTTTTCTTGTAGAAGATGAAGTAGAAAAGAGAACATGTGGAAAAACTCAAAGAGACGACTTATTAATTAGATGGGGGATGAATTAATGCATGAGACACACTATTGGGAGGACCAAGGAAAGATACGTCGGTGTTGGTTTGTGTGCTCACGGTTGTGGTATCCCTTTTTTGACCTTTTGAATTGATCTATTGCTTTGACAGGAAAAACAAATGATTAATTGCTTAGTCTATTATTCTCTCCTTCCAATTTAATTGATTTTATTTGACTGTTTTAACATATATTAAAAAAATTATCTTTTAACATTAATTACTAATAAAGTTGATCATATTAACTTTAATTTATTTATTGAAATACAACAAATGCTCTTTGGCTTTTTACTCCAAGGACAACTTTGGAAAAAAGAAGTTAATTCATTTTTTATATCTGAAAATTCAAATATCGACCCGACCGGTCGTTTTGAGTATTACAACTCCATTTTCTCATTTATTGAATATTTTATGCTCAATTGTGATTATGTAATTTTTCGGGGAAGTTTCGGAATGAATTGGAACACTTAGTTCCAAGATTTAAAGCTTAAGTTGAAATAGTTAACCAGATATTGACTTGTGTGTAAACGACTGTGGAATAAAGTTTTGATGATTCCAATAGCTCTGTATGGTGATTTTGGACCTAGGATTGTGTCCGAAAAATTATTTGGAAGTTCGTAGTTAAATTAGGCTTGGAATGACGAAAATAGGAAATTGAAAGTTTGACTTGGAGTTGAATTTATTGATATCGTGGTCGGAATCCGATTCTGGAAACTGAAATAGGTTTGTTATGTCAATTATGACTTATGTGCAAAATTTGAGGTCAATCGGACTTGATTTGATACGTTTCGACATCGAATGTAGAACTTGGAATTCGTTAGTTTTCATTAGGCTTGGAATTGGGGTGCGAATCATGATTTTAGCGTTGTTTGATGTGATTTGAGGCCTCGAATAAGTTTGTATGATGTTTTAGGACTTGTTGGTATATTTGGTTGAGGTCCCCGGGGCCTCGGATGGTTAACGGATCAAAAATTGGACTTAAAACAAAGCTGGAACCTACGATCCTTGTTGCGCAGAAGCGAAATTGGCTTGGAAAAGGCAGGGATCGCATATGCGCATGGTTGACCGCAGAAGCGACACACATCTGCGGAGGTTCGACCGCAGAAGTGGCAATGAGGGGGCGAGGTTGCTTTGCAGAATCGAAGACAGTCAGAGAAGCGGAAGCTTCACCGTAAAAGCGTGACCGCAGATGCGGCTAAATATGCCGCAGAAGCGAAAGCACTGGCAGTGTACAAAAACAGAAGGGTCCGGGATTTTTCCATTCTTGGACATTTCAAACACGGGTTGAGGCGAGTTTTCAGAGAGAATTCACAGGAATTATTAACGTAAGTCACTTGTGATCATCGTTAGTCAATAATATTGAATTATCATTGAGTATTTCGACTAGATTAAGTGTTTTTGAGGTGAAATTCGAGGATTTGGGCCTAGGGATTTGAAAATAAGATTTGAGGGTTTGAAGGTCGAGTTGATGTCGGAATTTGGTAAATTTGATATAGTTGGACTTGTGGTTGAATGGGCGTTCATATTTTGTAACTTTAGTCGGGTTCCGAGACATGGACCCACTGCCCATTTTTGAGTTGACTTTCGGATTTTTATTGGAAAATTTAGTATTTTCATTGTGAATACCTAATTTTTGTACTATTTTAATACCTCCTAAAGTCATTAGTGTTTTGTTGCTTTAATTATATTTCCCAATTTTTGTGTCTTTGATTGCATATTTCCTATCATAAAAAATACCAAAAAAATAGTTCTTTCTTTATTTGTGCATTTTAGGAATTAACTAACTATTTAATTGGTGAATTAATCTAGTTAATTGATCATTTGAATAAGTTACTTAATTAATTTATTTGTTTGTGTAAATTTAGTTTAATAAGTAGGATTAAGAAAGAAATTGGGCCAAATTTGAAAGAGAAAGTGGCCAAAAGTG